AAGAAAGTGCTTTTCTGAGATGGTGCAAACTTAGAAAGTGTGTTGGACAGGTCGGCCACTGCGAACTTACTTTATCTGTAGTGTTTGTGAATGCTGTACAGGAAATCCCTCATCACAGGTTTTATTAAGCACTACAAGTGATACAGAAAAAGCAATAATATACATCAATATAATATATGTATATAAATCTATTTAGGATTACTCATGAAATACAAATCTAAAGCCTTTCATGAGCATAAAGCTGACCACAGAGCTTTGTAAAACAGCTTCTCTTACAGGCATGAGAGTAGAGCTGGATCTCCATTCAGTACACAGTACTTTTAACCCTCTACGAAATCCACTATGAAAGCTAGTTAGTAGAGGCTAGTTTTCCCAAATGTTTGGTACTAGCAGCAAGAACACATAACTGGAAGAGCAGAGTAATATGTTCAGTATCAAAGATCATGTACGTCGTCACAGATGTTACCAGCTTGGCTCTAAAATCTCAAGCATCAGTGACAGCAAGCTGGTATAGAGAGCAAGGTGTAGAGAGAAAGGGAGAAAAAAAATCCCGTTTTCAAGCCAGATTGATGGTGACCATGTAGAGGAAATAGTATCTTAGGGATAAAACCACTAAACTGATGCATTTTATTTGTCGGATTCCTAAACCTGTCGGCTGTAACAGTGCTACATTTTTTACACAAGAATACTGTAATAAGGAGAAAATGGGGTCTACAGTTGTTTATAAGCCATAAGCATCTATAAATTATAAGTACCTAAATCCACCACTGAAATTAAACATTAGAAGAACTACTGTTAGACAGAAGGTAGCAGAGACTCATTTACACAAAAGTGAAAATAAAAGGTGTGGGGTTCTCTGAGACAACAAGGTCAGAGCAAGCGAGACTACAGTGGAAAAGAGTGGTCACTCCTCAGAAATGGTGCAAATTTAGATGCAGAATGAACAGTATGACTCTCGTTGAGTAAAGATAGTACTTAAAAGGAGAGCTCTTGAATACCAGGCCAAAGAAATATTGGAAGAAGCAAAGAAAGCAGGCAAACCACTGTTAGAATAAATAAATGAATACATGCAGAATACCTAGTGAATTAAATACTGCTATCATAAAAAGATATCAAGTCAGTTTTCAAATGATGAAAACCCTGTGTGGCAATGTCAAAAAAAGAAATCAGCAAGCTCAAAGCAAACATGGGAAAGTGCTAACAAGGGAGATGCCACAGAAAGACAGAGCATTTTAAAAAAAGTCCTCTTTGAGCCCAATCTTATTCCAGTACCTATTTCACTGACCTTGAGCAGCTGGCTGCTAAGTCGTATGGCTCAACTGGGTGGTAGTTATGTGTGTTATAGTTAAGAAACAGCAAGTAATGTTGCATTATGAGATTGTTACACAAAAGCATATATGCCTTTATGTGAGTTTCTGGAATGGATACATGACTTCAAAGTAGCATTGAACTGAAACAAAGGTAAGATCAGACACTGATGTTCTCTCTCCTGCTCCTTGCAACCATAATCGATGGCATCCATCCAAAGAAAGTCTATGAAACCTTGACGCAGACTGTGTTGCTGATACTGTTGTAGTCCATAATATCTTCAGAGAGCTTGTCTTGTATTAGCAGAGAACCTTTTATTTTCAAATTAAAATCCATTTTGATCCAATCCATTGACACAGTTTGAAATCATACTTCATGCATGAGTGGAAGACTTAAACCACTTTGCTTGCTGTTTTGTCACAGCTATCTAAAACTCATCGTTCTCTGAACAAGCTTCCTATAGTTTGAAGTGTTCAGCAGCCAATGCAATAATATAAGGACTACAAAGTGTTATGTAGATTGATATATCAAATTGATCTCATGTTTTATATTTTGTAGTAAGCACAACAGTTACCTCAATAGAATTGAAGTATTGCAAAACAGCTGGCCAGGCAGGCTTAACATCAGTAGTGTCAAAATGTATACCTGCAGCTGCCTGTAGAGGTACTTGACAACAAAAAAAACCCCACTAGTGCATAAACAACAGAGAGGTCAACCTTAATACTAGAAAGCAATTGAAAGCTGCAACAAAGTAATTTGGCTTTTTTCACAGCAATTGATATTTAATAATTTTAGCTTTGATTTTGTTTCTTCAGTTCTCTATGGTAAAATAAGGTTAACAATATTTTCTCTTTTTACAGATAAGGAATATTTTGTGGGAAACATTACATTTGTATCAATTTAGTATAAAGTGCAAAGTTTCATAGGACATTGTAAAAGAAAACACAGGGCTTAGGGAAAAGGATGAAAAGAGTATGGAATATATCCATCATGAATGAGGCATAAGTCCTGTGGAAAACAACATATCCAGCCCAAATGATTCTATGATTCTTGTACTTAAAATGATTATCCTAATCATATGCATAAAAGCAGCACATTAAAATTGAGCACACAACCCTAATTTTTATTTCCTAACTTCTGAATCCTTGCCTGTGCAACTTCAGTAGTTACATCATGTTACACATGATGTTGGTTTCTTTGGATGTACTAAGAATATAGTTAGGGCTGCTCTAATTGTTTATATCTCAATAACTGTAGCTGTGTGTCTGCCTCAAACTATGGCTCATGTCCTGTGGTCTTATTCTGTCAGAGTCCCTAAGAATGAAATTGTCTTCCTTCTTGGTCCTTGTCTAGAAACTAATCATCTAGGTTATGTTATGCTGCCAGCTTTTACCCCTCTAGCTTTTGAGAATTCTATAAAACCTATTCCTTTGGTGGTATTGAATGTGTTGTACTGTGGACATTTTATCTTCTTTTGAATTAGGTAAGCATTCTACTGAGGCAACTGTTGTGATTACTAAATAATATAAAACATAAGATCAATTTGATATATCAATCTACATAACACTTTGTAGTCCTTATATTATTGCATTGGCTGCTGAACACTTCAAACTATAGGAAGCTTGTTCAGGGAACGGTGAGTTTTAGATAGCCATGACAAAATAGCAAGCAAAGTGATTTCAGTCTTCCACTCATGCATTAAGTATGATTTCAAACTGTGTCAATGGGTTGGATCAAAATGGATTTTAATTTGAAAATAAAAGGTTCTCTGCTAATACAGAGCAAATGTACCGAATTTCAGTTTCTTCGTTTTCAGAAGCTGTTTGGACAATTAAATGAGATGGATAGTGGGCGACAGGAACAAATTTCTGCAAAGTCTGAAACTTTGTGAGGGCTTGGATTTTCCATTTGAGGCAATCCGTTCCTGCAGTATTTTATTGCCTCACAATCTTGCTTATATCACTAATGTAAAAAATCAGTGAGGTAGGAATGTTATTGGAATATTATTTTATTGTTAGGGGGGGTGTTATTTTTTTCTTTTCTTTCTTTTTTTTTTTTTACAGATGGGGGCACAGAAAGAGACTAAGAATTTGGCAGATGAATGGAGTACTGTACAGTACGTGTAAGGTGTGATCTCGCAGTATGGATTGGCTGCCCTTAGGCTATTTATTCGTTAGTCAGTGCACGGTAGCTTACAATGTCTCTTTCTCATACTGTGGGATATGGATATACTGTGTATACACATAGGAGTCAATATTATTTATAGATTAATTCTGGTTAGAAAGATGTTACACTGTCTAAATAATAGAAAGCCAGACAGTAAAGTTTCAGGAACTGCACACTCATTTGTTTTACAAATTAAAAACAGCTGCTAGTTGAACAGCTATCAGAGAGCAGCCAGTTTGCTGCAGGTTCATGTCCTTGCTCCCTTCTCAGTACCTGACTGTCTTTGCTTCCTCAGGAGACTTCTCCAGAGGAAGAGAACCCCTGTCAGTTCACTCCAGTCAGTGTTCAGTCTCCTCAAAATGAACCTCCCCACATTTGGAAGACTACAGCAGCAAAAAATAAAAGCCTGTGATAATCTGTGCTATCCTAGGAAAAGCCCAGCCTCTTAAGCCCTCAATTTGAAATAACCAATGTGAATCATTTGCCAGATGTGTCTTATTACAAAGGATCACAGCTTTTTTCTTATTTGGGGGATGTAAAAGTTTGCACAGGAGCTGGCCATTTCTCTGGATGTGTGAAGCCTGAGCTTACAAAAAGGTTGGTGCAGCATGTTTGCACATAAAATTGCATATATGCTGTTGGACCTAAGTCAGAGGTCACGGATACACTGTGTAGTTAATTTACACATGCAAAATTTGACTGTCTAGGACTGCAGAGGCCTCTGGTCAGTCCTGTGCTTAGCGCTTCCAGTTTCCTAAACCCTGGCAAAAGCTGTGAAAAAAATATTCTAAAAATAAAGCTAAAAAACCCCTAGGTAATGTTTCCAACGATTGTCATCTATCCATGCATGTGGGTAGAACTCTTGAGCTGAAAATGCGTGTGGATTACTCTGCGTTCAGAGTAATCCTCATTTGCTCAGATAGACACACAGACACTGGTCCAGCCCAGAAGACACTGCTAAGTCTGGTCTTGAAACTATAGCCAATATTTTCTTGATTATTTTTTTTAAGTTCATTAGATCTTTACTGTACACAGATGTCACATCTTCTTTTTAAATGTCTTTAGCTAAAATCTTGGGTATGATAGCTTTTCAAGAAGTAAGGATGCAAGGTGCTCTTTGTTCATTATTTCACACACTGACTGAAGACTATCTCTTTTCTAGGCTGAAATCTTTTACCCTTTTTATGTTGATCTGTAATTTCATATATAGTCCCCTTGAAATAATTGGATTGCTGATAAAATAAAATGTGGCCTGAATAGGAATAATATAATGTAGTGCTAACATGAAGTTGTGCAGTATGACACATGTAAGCAGTTAAGACATATTTTGGTTATCCAGTAATTATTCATGTTTGCACATCAGATGTATATTTTAATATAAACAGGTTCAGAGGGGAAAACAACAACAGTATGGAACAGTGTTTATAGACCATCCACAAACAGAAGGAAAGAGAAGACCTGCTGGTTTTTAAAAAAAAAGAAAGAAAAAAAAAAGTGCTGCATATACAGATCCTCAGTCAGCGTGAATGGCATTAACAAAGGATTCGTTTGAACGGATTAAGTGGCTTATCACAGCTGCCTGGTGAGTTTTACAGATCACTAAATTTTTTAACTACAGTCACTGAGATATATTATTAGCTATCAATTTAACACTAATAAGAAATCACCAGTTAAATAATTTGTAGCCTGTCATAAATTTGATAAGCCTATACGATAATTTATTGTATTTGATTTTGATTGCTGGTCTGTAAGTTTATACCATTTAGATTTCAGGTACTACACTATTTAAGTAGTAGGAAACAGGAACTATAATTCTGAGTCTGTTTTAAGAGGAAAGTTATTCCTCCAATCTAGTGATGAATGTATTTGGAGAAGAAAAAGTAATGACCAACTCAAACCTGAATGCCTGTCCCAGAATAATGTTGCAGATGAGGGATAATTATTAAAAGGCACGAGGAAAACTTTTAGAGACTATGATGGAAATACTTCCTAGCAGCTGTGGCAGGAGTTCTGTCTGGAGGAAGATGATCCTTAGGAGAAGATTAGGATCACTGTGGCCTAGAATTTTCATAGTGGTGTGTGGGATCAATGATTCCATCTCTATAATATCTTCTAGGAAAAGTCAATCCAATTTTCCTTCTTTATAAAACTTCATGCACCAGGCTCTTTAGGAATGTGAACTTACGCTTTTCTAGTTGAGAACCTGGCCTAGCAAATGAACCTTGCTTGAACCTGACACCCTCGCTGCTAGGCAGTCTTCTGTTGTGCTAATATGCCTGAACTCTCTCCAGTGTCTTTTTCATGTTTATTTGGTTTGTGCAAACCCAGGCTGCTTGTTATTCGGGTGTTCCCCAATGTAGCAGCCTCCTACTCCAGCCATCTCTCCAAGGTAGCTCTTCTTGCCTTTTTCTGCGTTATTTGTGAATGATTTACCTCTAACAGTCTTGTGCTGATTTGAATACATAGGCAATGTCTGTCTGGCTTCAGGAGGCAGGGATTTTGAAATGACTGAGAACAATCTAGCAAACACTTGCCTGCCATGTATGACCAGAAAAAGGGGAGACTACAGTGCCATGCATCAAGAACAACATCATTAGATTTCCATTTCAGTTGTGCAACGGTTTCATGAGAACTTTGCATTTTCTTAAATGAAAAATAACTCACTTGGCCAACGTTGATATGGGAAAAAATATTTACAGAGTGCCTGCAAGTTCAGAAGGTTAGAAGCAAAAATGGCCTTAAATTAGTAACAGTCACAGAACAAACCAATGCTAATGTCTGCTACCTTGTTGAAGTGTTCCTGTGAAGATAAATTCTTTCTATACAAACTTATTTGATGCATTAAAGGATGAACTACTGGGATGCACAAAACTTCTCTACCATTTACTGCTGTAGCTGATAATCTGGCGATCTCACATTGTTTAATCAGTCCTTTGTTTCTCATTTAACAAGAGACAGTATGAGCTTCTGTCTTCAGTTACCACTAATTATTTTCATAAATATTTTGTTTATGTAAAATCTGTGTATTTGAAAAAAAGTAGCAGATGACACAGGTTTAAAAAGCGTATAGAATAAATGTACATAAATGGCTGAAATATGTTAAATTTGTCAGTATTGAATTTATTAGTATATATCAGTGCATATACAGATTATATAATTTGCAGTTTGTATCTATGAATAATTAATAATCAGGGAGAATAATCGTGGGTTTGCTGGCACAGTTCTCAGTGCTTCAAAGAGTTGACTATGTGAATAACATAGGAAAAATAGAGGCTGATCTCAATAGGACTTTGGGAAATTTACTAAATGCCTAAATATTTGCAGGTTGGAGTAATTTTGATACAGGCTTCACTATAGCCTGGAGAATAATACACAATAGTCTATACGTTATGGCCTTATCTAATTTATCATTTCATATAATGAGTGAGCACCTTAGTTCTCATTAATAATAATGTTAGTATTAATAATAATTAATGCTTGTTTCCTGTATTGCTGCAGAAATTTTGAGCTACCTTTTTGTTTTACTTTATCCTCTTTTTTTTGCATGTAGAAATCATAAAAGACAGGATTTCAACTTTGTAGTCCATCACTAGCAATGGTTGGCATGGAGCTAGGCTTTCCCAGCAGCTGGTCTGGAATCACGTGGCTATTTTGAGTGCTGCTTTGCTCCTTGCCTTCTCTTGCTCTCTCCCTGAGAGAGAGAAACAACACCAGATAACTCATTTTGCGACAGATACAGATCACCTCCATCTCTGCTCAATCTTCGCCCCATGGTTTCTGTGGAGAAATCTGTCTGGAATGGTGCCTTTCTGACCATTCCTAACTGTGGGATTGGAAATAGGTTACAACAGGGAAGTTACAAGGACTTTTACATAGTCTTATTCATGCCTATCTGTTTGTACTCAGTCTCACAAATCTAAAAAGACAAATATACGTAGCATATGCTGACCATTTCTTGATGGTGAGTACCCTTTATAAATATACTGTTTTACTATATAATCACCCCAAACAGGACTTAATCATGTGTATACACTTCTCACTTTTTAGAGGCTGGATGTTGGAATTTTAGTTTTAATTTAGCTTTCTCCTTCTTTCAAATCAGGTGGCTGCTGATTGTTTTTGCAGCACAAGAAATTGATGGGGTAAGTGACATTGATACTCACTTTAGACAGGTGATAGATAGGATAGTATAGTTCAAATAAGTAATGCTATATGCACCAAAATGACCTACAGTTCTGTGGGAAAACTGTGATGTTTCTTTCAGTATTTCTGCAGTTCTAACTTTCCTTTCTGTTCTTGTTGCTCAGCTTAACTATTTTGTAATTTTGTCCTTTGGATTCTTCTAGATTCTAACTTCGGCATCTTTAGGTGCTTTTGGAAAGCTGCACGTAAAAATACCTCTCTCATGCACCCAGTCTGTCTCCTTCCTCATGAAGTCCCTTCAATGGCTCTATATTATAGCACATATCAAAATCTAGCTTTCAAACCCTTCTCTGTATGTTAGCCTAGATCTTAAATGGGCCTCGCTGTACTTTCCCATCTCTCTGAAGCCAAAATTTCACATATAATATAGTCTCAATATCTACTTTCTTTTCCTCTCTGTACCGTCCTCCATATTAACCTTATGTTTGCAATGCCCTCACTGAAACTTCTATCAAGTCTGTCGTCTTTGTTTCTTTCAAACATTTAAAAGCTCTTTTTTGTTGGTTTTCTCCCAAAGTCATCCCTTTTTAGTTGAACTGTTGAAAATTGAAATGTTTTTTAAAAATACATATGTTCAATGAGAACAAAGGGTAACAGCTTACATGTTATTAGAAACTTGCATTCCATTAACATTCCAGCAGAGGCAAGTTTTTAATAACTAGATGAGAGACTGGTGTGGAGTAGATTAGTAGTTTCATGGGAAACCTAGTGTGTGAAAGAGAAGCAATCTGTGAGAGAGACCATCATACCCTCTTGTTCTGAGGTTTGGGAGTACCAGATATTCTAAAAATATTGTAGATAGAAAGAACAGAATTTTTGCTCCTTATCTAATATTTGTCAATGTTTTCTCCTTGAAAAACTGAAGTATGAACCTACAGTGTTTTGTTGGTTATTAAAACCAGTAACAAAACAATGTTGACCTTGATAAAAACAAAATCCACACTGAGCAAATATTTTCATGTTATCAGTGTTTACTTGTTTACCTAAATTGTTCTTAAATCTTTTAAGTCTTTGTCGAAACAACTTTTCAAATCCTTTTTGAAACAACTTTGATCATTTACACAATTTTGCTGAAAAAATAATGTCATCTAGTGGACATTCCAACCATCCAAGTTAGTTTATAAATGCATATGGTGTGTATAATTGGTATATGTTTAATACTACACTTTGGGAAATAGTGAAGAATAATAAAGTCATGTTCACTTACCACACAATAAATCTACTGAATTTACATTTTTTTGTGTTTTAGTTTCTCCTCGAATATGCTTTTTTTCCTCATTGCAATTTGATGAAACAAAGTAGTCACTTCTTTGCTATTAAGAGGACAATGACAGAAAGTTTTAATACAAGAAATAAGTAAATTAATAGTAGGCAATGCATAATTACACCATGCACATGCTTCTTTTTTCATTTAATAGACAGGAATTAAATACAGGGCTTTATCGCTGTATGGGCTTGTTGCTCTTCAGCCTATTTTGCCTTTTATCATTTAATTGTAGGTAAACAATCTAACCTAATGTGATGGGTTACACATTTCACATTATTACAAATTAAATTCTGATTCTGTTAAAATTTTTTCTAGATGCAGCCTATTTCTGTAGTTGTATTTAGCTGTAATCTTTAGCATTACTTAACATAACTTGCAGGTAATGTCTTTCACCTTCTACAGCAACAGTAATAAGCTTTTGCTTATTGCTTCTACTTTGCCAGCATGTTTATGCTGATGAGAAGTCCAAGAAGATTAGGAAGATTTTAAATGTATAGATGTGTGTATTCTATTAAGCAAGCATTGGAAATGGTTCGTATGTGTCAAGCTGAAGATCTACACAATATTCTGATGTTTGCTGCTATGCCAGATTTCTTCGTCAGAAAGAAATTGCCCTGTGGGTATGCAAGGGTAGCCAAATCTTTTGCCTTAAAAATCATCTAATTGGATAATATGTCCAGTTGACAGTATTTGATGAACTGATTGTTGTCTGTTGCGTATTGATAAATCTATAAACTTTTGATTTTTAGGGAGGATATGCATATATTGGCCCATGTGGGGGACAGGATTGTTCAGTTTGTCGGTGCTTTCCAGAAAAAGGATCAAGAGTAAGTGACGATTAGAACTATTGATAATTACTGTTGTAAATACTGTTCATTTTGTGCACATTGCTGTTCTTTAAAATCAATATGGTTGACATAAATCAATATTCAGACATAAACAAGTCTGAATATAGCAAACTAGCATAATTCTCTCACTGGTATGAAGTACAGCTATCACTGAAGAAAGTTAAGATTATTTGTAAACAAGTTTGCTTGTAAATTAGGTTTGTAACAATTGTGGCACCTTTTTTGTGTTAAGGATTCTTTGAGATCAATCTAGTAGTTAGACAAAGGTCATTCTTAATATATATTAAGTTTAGAAATTTATGCTTGTTTTCTACTAAGAGGTTGGTTAAAAGAGAATGTCTATGCCATTTACTAGTATGAGAGCTAAGGTGTTTCTTATTTGGGTTAGGTGATTCTGGAAGAGCTTGCAGACTTACTAGCTTAATGCACTAAGTATGAAAAGAAAATCCAAATTGTCTTTGCCTTATAAATAATTATAAAACATTGATGAAGCCAAGGCATTTTCATATTATACACTAAAATTAGTAACTGTGCATGTTGCTATTTGTTAACTGAAATATGGGCCAGTGATGACTAGTTTATCTTGGCTGTTCTTTCTCAAAATACAGATCTATATAGCGATAGCAAACAATTTAAACGTTATATGAGGAAAAGACTTACTTAGATACATGCCCTGATTAGTGAACAACTGAAAAACTGTTTGTTAGTGATGCAAATTGTTTTCTTTCAAAGTACAAATGTTAAAGGTTAGGGTTAAAAAGCTTGAACATCGTGGATCAGTTTTTAGAAGAGCTGCACGCCCCATTTGTCTGTGTACCACCTGAGTCACCAAAAAAGCAAGACACACCTTTTCCTTCCTGTGCTTCTGCAGTGAGCTGCATGCTTTGCTGTGTCATGATCACTGCCCTGGTGTCCTTGGATCCTATCCTAATCCTCCAGGATTATGTCTATATGAAAGTCCTCCATGCTGTAGGATTTTCATAATAGGGGCCTAGGATGCATCTATCTCTGTACCACTGTGTTAACAAAAGGGCACCCCAGGAAAAGTATTTTGACTAGCAGCATTGCAGTGTCTCTCTGTGCCACTGAATAGACTGTTTTGGATACCAAAAACCTGATCTGAAGTACCAATTAAAAACAACTGATTTTGAAACTAGAGAAAATTTCCCTGATTTTGGTTCTGTCTCAGTAGCCTGGAAGTTCTGAATCACACGCCCACAATCAGTCAATAATAAATACCCACTGCAGTCATTATGGCTCTTTCCTAAGCTGTCCTCCCCACCACAGGTAAACTGAACTGATTCAGTTTAGAAGTGTAATAAACATTTGAAAATAAATCCAATGTCATTATGCAAATGTGAGTCTGAGAATTCTACCATTTTCTGAAACAGCTCTGAAATACATATGCACACTAATGGATAAAGTCTCTCCAATGTAATATGAATTTATATATCATGCAGTCATTTCTGTTCATATGCAAGAAATAAAAGTACTTACCAGACTATACATGAAATATGTCTTAACTAAACACCACTTCAGATAGATTGTTGCAAATATTTTCTGTACTAATGTATGGTGATTAATTATTTTCTATAGGATTACTTAAGCTTTTTTTCATCCTACAATCCTGTTGATTTCTAAACTTAGCTGTGTTCTGCCTTTACACTCTGACACAGTAACTTTGCTCTCCTAGCTTTTGTGGAGGCTACCCATTACAAAACAAAGGATTTGTTTATCTTATTGTTGGTGTCCTAGAATGCAAAACATCTGCTTTATCTACTTTTCTGTCTGAATCCTGCTCCCAGGCTGGTTCCTCAGAGTTTTGCATCTTCCCTAATCATGTCTTTAAAGTGCAAGAAATAGATGATCATTGAAAGCCTCTGGTACTGTACAGTATGCAAGCCTAAAATTTCAGAAATGTACAGTTTATTAAATAATCCTCTGTGAAGAAGTTGAGATCAGGGCAACAGTATAAATTTGGTTGCCTAGCACTGTATTTTTTCCTTTTTCATTATTTAGCACAGGCTGGCTGTCAAAATTAAGGATGAGCTGGCCCCCTCAGCAAACATTTGCTGAAAGCACAAAAATATTTTAGAAAATTCATGTACTTGCTGGTAAAAGGCAACGGAACAATAATCTCATCCAGACTACCTGGAAAGCCAACCTTATAGCAGCCCTCAAAGTTAACAAGTCTTTATTCAGCTCTGTTAAACCAACAGCAGTATCAGGGCTTTTGCAGAGACTGAATGAGAAAGGCAGCATCTGAGTGAGCTACATCAGTATGTATATTGAGTTACATTGATATATGTAGACCAGTCCACCTATTTTTTATTTTTATTTTTTGTTTATTTTATAATCTCTTTTACCACAGGGAGTCAGGTGTAGAGTACTCCCTTCATATCTTCCACTGAACATGGTAATCTAAGGCTTACAGGGGAGCAAGGACAAACTGTCTCATTTTTGTATTGCTATTGTACTACTGTATCATCCATGTTAGAGACACACAAGGTCAGACCTATTATGAATTGATTAAACATGTTATTCAAACTCTTCCAAGAACTGCAACCAAGTCCTTCATTAGACTAGCTGGAACATGACCATTCGTAAGTTATTCTGAATCTGTTGGCTGAATACTTCCAAATATAGTTCCAGTTTGAATGGAAAGTTTCTATTAACTTTTATCTCCCCTAAAAAGTGTACTGGGGGAGAAGCTATTTAGCAAAGTGCTTTATTTGTAATACACCTGGTGGAATGCATAGGAATTATTATCCATAGGACAGATGCTCATTGTATCATAATGTAGACTTTATGCTAGATAGATGTCATAGGTCCAACTTACAAGTGATAGTTTAATATCTGAATAAGAACCTAAGCAGTTTGTTTTGCACATTGCTAATGGCCACTTCCCTACGTCTTTCTCCACACACTAATGAAAAGGGGATTTTTAGAGAAGTCAGAATATCTATCTGCTGATAAAACAGCAGTTGTGTTGTTTCAAAGTTAAGGTGTGCCCATCTGATAAGGGTTTCACTTTGTCAGCAGACTGTGAGGAAAATATTGTTGCTAGTTTCATTTGAGGGATTTTTGTTTACGTATAAAACACTATGACAGGTATTTGATGACACTGCCATTTTACAGATTTTTAGAATGTTACCTTCCTTTTTAGACTTCCAGTGGAAGCATTGCCCACTGGAAATTTAGCTAGTAACGTGAACAAACAGGTTATTTCTATGTTTGGCATAGGCTTACAGTCAATCCATAACAAAGATTTCAACTAAAATTAGGGTAGAACAAAAGTCTTAGATTTAATATAAACCAGCTCTGTTTATTTGTAATTACCAGTGACAAGTGAAGTGTGTTCACATTTTGTAAAACTAAAAACATTGTATGCTGTGTATGATGTAACTGTAGTCCTCATCCTTAATGTCTCTCCATTAAAATAGTAAAAAACTAGGGTAATAAGAGAATAGACACCTAAAATTAAACTCCTAAATATATTTAGGTTTATGAGTTAAGTAGAATGGCTGTCAGCAGTGTAGTATACTCTGAAGTTTCCATAGGAAAATCCTGCCCTACTGTCTTTGGCATAATGACCTTTCTTTCTATCCATTTTTTTGAATGCCATTTAAGTATGATTACTTGAAGCTGTGGTTACCAGGACAGTGTAAGAAAACTGTGCAGCTGACTCATTGCAATGGGAATTAAGACTTTGCCTTCTAGTTGCCCATTTGAAAATATTTTAAATGTCAACATAGAAAGCCTTTCCTCATTGTAAGTGGACAAGACAATTGAGGTTTTAGCTAGAGAAAAGATGACCATGGGACTAAGAAAAGGAAACTGCCATGGCCATACTTGAATGCATTGAAATTGAGTAAGTTGGAAGAAAAGTAGGAGCAAATAGCTGAACTTTTACTTAATATTTATATAAAACCAGTATACTTATGCATTGGTTGCTATATTGGGTTTTAGAAGAGCTTGTGTACCTGTCATTTTTTATTTGTCTCAACAGATTTGCACTACTATTCATTAGCAAGAAATCACTGTCTGAAAAACATTCTAGTTGCCATTGCTAGTTGTATACCTCATTCTGATATCATTACAGTTGTCCACATCACAATGGAAATTCGACTTCTGTTTAATTAGGATTACAGTCTTGTTGGAATTAGTTTTATGTTATAATATTTACCTCTTGATGTCCTGTCACAACTCAAAAGGACTCCTTCTATAGGGCACCATTAAAACATGCTGTTAGAGCCCTTTGCACATACCGTGTGCTACTATACCTATTCATTTAAGAACTATAGAACAGATCAATGAGGGGAGAAAGTCATTAGTGAAAGTGTATATGCCAGTAACCATTCTACATGATTTTTAGTGCCAGCCTGGAACAACTGAGACTTTCTCCTGCCTTTCTTTCCCAGTCAAGATGTATGGTCTTCCGGTAGGCAGTAGCAGCCAATGTTTTTAATTAGGGGTAAACAGCAACTTCATTGTTTTAGACTTTTTTCCCCCTGTTCCTCTTTGGTCTCCCATAAAGTCCATGATTTTAATTTTCTCACAATATGTCCAACAGTCAGTGAAGCCCCTCCTCCACTTCCTCCTTTTTCTCTAACTTGGGAAGTCGTTTCCTTGATAACTGCAGTGTTGTATCAGAGGCCTCCAAAAACACTGGCTGCTCTAACAGAATTTAGATAGTTAAAAAAATGTTTGCAGTTAGCACTGACCGATTGTAAACCTGTCCTGTGCCGACCCCACAGTTTGATCCCATTCAATTCCTTTGGCTTTGTTTATAGAGTTAAGTAGATTTAGAAAGCAAGCGCCTATTCATGACCCAACCTGATCTAGTTTCTATGAGATCATGTGAAATGCCTGGAGCAAAGTGAATAATAAATATAACTCAGCAAGACCAATGTTCGTTCTTTTGCAGATGAAGCGAGTGGCCTATTTTCATACTAGTGTAGGAGGGAACCTAGCAAACA